GCACAGATTCCACGTTTTAATCGAAGATTCGAATTTTGGTACGTTGACCAATCTGATTTGATCTCCGCTTTTGTGAAAATGTCATATTATCACCGACCTTATTACCATCACCTTAGTGTGTGACATCAGGTGTACGCTCCTCTGTGTTTTCGTTACCAATGCAGTTAATTTGACACGTTTGTTGCATTTCCGTATGTCTCAATATTATTCTTGCTGAAGCACCGTCAAACCCACTATCCAGCGGCAGCGAACCACCTTAACACCTGAAATTATACAAAAACAAACTAAACATTAGCACCAACAACCAAACCTGAGCGTCTGCTCACCATGGAGGTGCGGGTCAAAACGGCGTCTGTTCTCCATGTTAGGAGCGGCTGATCACCGTCCTAGTGCCAGCGTGGGACTCTAAACAGAGCTGTGCACGATGGTCCCCCGGCGAGACAGGGGGTTGGGGCAGGCCCAACAAGCCGCCCTGGAAAAAAAACAAAGTTGCAAATACCGAAGAAAGAAATACGGATCGGAACAATCGGCACAGACCTACGCGACGAAATAAGGACTACGATTGGAAACTCGGAACATGGAACTGCAAATCGCTCGGCTTCCCGGGTTGCGATAGGTTTATCTATGACGAACTTCAACCACGCAACTTCGAAGTCGTAGCACTGCAGGAACTTTGCTGGACGGGACAAAAGGTATGGAAAAGCGGGCATCGAGCGGCTACTTTCTACCAGAGCTGTGGCACCACCAACGAGCTGGGAACCGGCTTTGTAGTGCTGGGTAAGATGCGCCAACGCGTGATTGGTTGGCAGCCGATCAACGCGAGGATGTGCAAGTTGAGGATTAAGGGCCGTTTCTTCAACTACAGCATCATCAACGTGCACTGCCCACACGAAGGGAGACCCGACGACGAGAAAGAAGCGTTCTATGCGCAGCTGGAGCAGGTGTACGACGGCTGTTCGCAACGGGACGTCAAAATCGTCATCGGCGACATGAACGCTCAGGTAGGACGGGAGGCAATGTATAGACCGGCAATCGGGCCAAACAGCCTGCATGCCGTATCGAACGACAACGGCCAACGATGCGTGAACTTTGCAGCCTCCCGGGGTATGGTAGTTCGAAGTACCTTTTTCCCCCGCAAGGATATCCACAAAGCCACCTGGAGATCACCTGACCAACACACAGAAAACCAAATCGATCACGTTCTAATCGACGGGAAATTCTTCTCCGACATTATCAACGTCCGCACGTACCGCAGTGCGAACATAGATTCGGACCACTACCTAGTTGCAGTATGCATGCGCTCAAAACTCTCGACGGTGCATAACACACGTCGAAGTCGAACGCCACGACCCAACATTGAGCAACTACGGGACACCGGAGTTGCCCAGGACTACGCGCAGCAGCTGGAAGTTGCACTACCCACGGAAGAGCAGCTTGGCGCAGCTTCTCTTGAAGATGGCTGGAGGGACATCCGTTCAGCCATAGGTAGTACTGCTGTAGCGGCACTAGGTACTGCAATCCCGGACCGAAGAAATGACTGGTTTGACGGCGAATGCAAACTGTTAGTAGAGGAGAAGAATGCAGCACGGGCGAGAATGCTGCAACACCGCACGAGATTGAATGTGGAGCGATACAGACAAGCGCGGAACAGACAAAACTCGGTTTTCCGAAGGAAGAAGCGTCAGCAGGAAGATCGAGATCGCGAGGCGATGGAAAATCTGTACCGCGTAAACGACACACGGAAGTTCTACGAGAAGCTAAATAGTTTGCGCAAAGGCTACGTGCCGCAAGCCGATATGTGCAAGGACTTGGACGGTAACCTTCTCACGAACGAGTGTGAGGTGATTGAGAGGTGGAAGCAGTACTATGACGAGCACCTCAACGGTGAAGCAGCAGAAAACGAAGGTGGCACGGCAACAGACCTTGGAGCACGCGCAGAAGACGACAGGCTACCGGCCCCTGATCTTCAAGAAGTTGAGGAGGAGATCGGTCGGCTGAAGAACAACAAAGCAACTGGTGTAGATCAACTACCAAGTGAGCTATTGAAATACGGTGGTGAAGCACTGGCTAGAGCGCTGCACTGGGTAATTGCCAAGATTTGGGAGGAGGAGATATTACCGGAGGAGTGGATGGAAGGTGTCGTATGCCCAATCTACAAAAAGGGCGACAAGTTGGATTGCTGCAACTACCGCGCGATCACACTGCTGAGCGCCGCCTACAAGGTACTCTCCCAAATTCTATGCCGCCGTCTGTCACCATATGCAAGAGAGTTCGTGGGGCAATACCAGGCGGGATTCATGGGTGCCCGCGCTACCACGGACCAAATTTTCGCGATTCGGCAGGTTCTGCAAAAATGCCGCGAATACAACGTGCCCACACATCATTTGTTCATCGATTTCAAATCCGCATACGACACAATCGATCGAGATCAGCTATGGCAGATTATGCACGAGTACGGATTTCCGGATAAACTGACGCGATTGGTCAAGGCGACGATGGATCGAGTGACGTGCGTTGTTCGAGTATCGGGGACACTCTCGAGTCCCTTTGAATCTCGAAGGGGGTTACGGCAGGGTGATGGACTTTCGTGTCTGCTGTTCAACATCGCGTTAGAAGGTGTGATCAGAAGAGCTGGGATAGACACGAGTGGCACGATATTCAGGAAGTCCATCCAGCTCCTTGGTTTCGCCGATGACATTGACATTATGGTATGGAACTTTGAGATGATGGCGGAAACGTACATCAGACTGAAGGCTGAAGCTAGACGGATTGGACTTGCCATCAACGCATCAAAGACAAAATATATGAAAGCAAGAGGTTCTAGGGAAGACAATGTTAGCCTCCCACCCCGAGTTCAGATTGACGGTGACGAAATCGAGGTGGTCGATGAGTTCGTGTATTTGGGCTCACTGGTGACCGCCGAAAATGATACCAGCAGAGAAATTCAAAGACGCATTATGGCAGGGAATCGTGCCTACTTTGGACTCCGGAGGACGCTCCGGTCGAATAAAATTCGCCGCCGCACGAAGTTGACTGTCTACAAGACGCTGATTAGACCGGTGGTCCTTTACGGCCACGAGACCTGGACTATGCTCGTGGAGGACCAACGCGCCCTTGGTGTTTTCGAACGGAAGGTGTTGCGTACCATCTACGGTGGAGTGCAGATGGATGACGGAACGTGGAGGAGGCGAATGAACCACGAATTGCACCAGCTGCTGGGAGAACCATCCATCGTCCACATTGCAAAAATTGGGCGACTACGGTGGGCTGGGCACGTCGTAAGAATGCCGCACGACGACCCAGTGAAAATGGTTCTAGAAAGCGACCCAACAGGAACAAGAAGAAGAGGCGCGCAGCGGGCAAGGTGGATCGACCAAGTAGAAGGTGACCTGCGGACCCTTCGCAGACTACGAGGCTGGCGAACTGTGGCCATGGATCGAGTAGAGTGGAGACGACTTCTTCGGACAGCAGAGGACAACAAGGCCTTAGCCTGATTGGTAAGGTAAGTAACCAGCCCACCCCCCTTCCCCGATTGCAACAGCTCTAAGCTATGCAACAGGATCATTTCGTGCCCCATGACAACTTGATCGAGTTGCTTCCAGGTGCATTGTTTTGGCGCCAGCCGGGAGAGACTTGGTCCTGTACCAAATTCTTTCCTTGTCTCCATTCCGCTCAGCTACTCGCAATTGACTGTGATATAGGGGGAGGAGGGGCATAGTGAACAGGTGGGGCATAGTTAGCATCTCGCAGTTTGGCTCTGGATCTCCAGCTGCATGAAACAAATCAACTGGTAGTAGATTCAATATCATTATGATATTGATCCTACCACCAACCAATTTGTTCCGAACGGCCGGAAGTCCAAGCTGGTGCACGGGATGCTCACTATGCCCGACCTGCTCACTATGCCCCTCTTACCCCTAGTGGGCGGAATATTACAAAGTGAGACAATTCAATGCAGACGTCTTCTAAATTTGGCCGATCGTCAGGTAATCAGTGGGTTACCACCTGGCACCTCTTAGCAAGCACTATGCTACGAAGCGGACCGAAAGTTTCAATGAACAACCTTCCCCACTATAAGTGTTGTAAATTGTAGCACAAAAATTAAGAACATCGTTGATATTTATAAAATCAATATAAATTTATGTATGTTATTTTGTTTAATGAAAATAAAACAAACAATACGAATGAAGTTAAGTTTTTTCAATTTACAATTCATACAAATTAAATGTAAATTTTATACTCATTACAAATCATTTTCGTACGACACCTTTGGCCTTATTACGAGTGTCACTTCACGGTGATAACGAAGTGAAGTGACCACTTGTCACGCATGGTGAAGTGATTGCCGTGTAAATCAAATGGGAATCACTTCACCGTGAGTAATAAGTTGTCACTTCACCGTGAAACACTAGTGGTTGATTATTGGGAGCTATTTCGTGAAATACGTGAGTACAGGTCAAATATGGTGCCTCCACGGAACTCCGCAAAGTCATGCATTGATTTGTTTTGTTTTTTTTCGGACAATGTGTAAATAATTAAGGTTATAACGGCATAATCGGACAGAATAAAAAAAACCACTCGCTTATATTTTGAATATCAATAATTTATTTACTTTTTATTGCATTTCAAAAATTATGTATGCTTATCGGTTTTTAAAATATTTTTTTGTTTGCTTTCCCTTAATGTTTACTAATGGATCAGAGTGTAAATTTCGTAAGAAAGGAAGAAAAATAATACAATAAAATAATATGTAAATATATAAAACTAAATAAAGGCATTCCTAATAGCAATTATATGATTTTTTGCTCTTTTGCTTGTTTTACATCCTGTGTTTTATAATCAATGCAATTAATCGTTAATTAATAAGTATAATATATGAATGGAATCCAATTTTAACTACTTTACTCGTTTAATGTGATTCGGGCTGCACTGAATTCTCGCATCCATTGTTTTCTTTTTGTTTCTTCTTAGTCATGAGTGTTTGTCCTGGAATACATACATTTACTTGTTTTTTGTTTAAATTGTTGTATATACGTTTGCATGTTTTTTTTTTAGATTAAGTAATTTCAACCATTATCATTCACTCGCTGCTGTTCTTTCATTTCCCGACCATGCGATGTGGAGAAACTTACAGTTGCCTCCACTCTGAATCCATTCTTTTTTTTAACTAGCTTTCTGCTTTTAGTGAGTGTGTATGTAATTGTGAATTCTTTGCTACCCATTTTTGTTCCTACTGTTTTTTATCCTCATAAACCACCCTCCTCCTCTTTCATGCACTTTTCCCACAATTGTCGATACAATATTTTTGTTTTAATCATAATTTCGATAATAATTGTAATTAGTTTTTTTTGCTTTCTCTCTCTCTTTCTCTCTCACGGAATATACCCAGTGTCTGTCTGCATGTATGTGTGTTTGTTTTCGTCTTGTAATGGCTGATCAATAATCTACGAATTAGCTAAATATAAACAAATTCATATCACTGCTAGATGCGTCTTTTAATCTGCGGCAACATTGCGCATCTCGAAACGAAAAACTTTTTCATACAAGCATTCGTACAAAAAGTGTTTCGTTTCGAGATGCGCAATGTAGCCCCTGGTTTTCAGTGCCTGATCTGATTTTCTGATTAGTTTTTTTTTTAATCCTACAACATAAAGTCATGTCTTTTCTCGGTTCCGAATCAGTTTGCCAATTGGATTGAACTAAGTTATAGGTTAGAATGTACGATAAGAATCAAAGATAAAAAAGAAGCTCAATTGATTTCCACACTTTCCACTGGTGGCAGCAAGAAATCATAATCTTTGAAGTACCTTCGTTTCGATTCATTGTAGTTAGCCAACAACGATTAGCTATACATAGAGTGTTGGCTGATTTGTAGTATTTTATATCTATATCAAGGACCACGTTCAACGACGACAATATCCACCACCATCATGAGAGGCTTGACAAGAAGGAATATACGAAGTGATGCGGTGCTCGCTCGCTGGAATGACGTCTATTTTTTTTGCGTAGAAAACATTTTCTCAAAACAATCAGTAATTTTTCGACAGATGCTACGATTTCTGATGTCAGAGTTGCATGATGTGAGAGAATAAGAAGTGGTACGACTACAGGAAAATACAGTGTTGATATTCATTTTTTGTTGCTTTACTTCCGTAGGGTTGTTTTTTTTTGTGTGTGTGTCTGTGTGGTAGAATTCCTATAGTTCCTTTAAATGCGTGCTCGGTATGATGCGACAGTAGTTTTATGCATTATATGTTCGTGTGGGGTGAGTGAGTTTTCGTGAATGTGAAAGTGAACTTGGTGATTCCTATATTTCGTTTTTGTTTTCTTTCGTAACTTGTTTATAATGATAAAATTGACCATAAAATTATTACTTTTTCCCACTTGGTTTGTTTTGTTATCCTTGCTATGATTAGATATTAAACTTCTTAGTTATGTACTGCACTTCCGCCATCAGCTTATCAATTATTTCAATTTGTTCTAATCTACTGTTCTGATTTTTTTTTATCTTTTTTCCTGGTTACATTTGTTTAGCTTTTGCATGATTTCCTCTTGTTACTTGCACATTAAGCCCTTTGAGCAGAGTTTATCGCCTTAATTTTCATTGTAATTCCTTGTGGCTGTCTTTTGTCACCGCCTTCGCGTCCTCTAAAAGGGGGAATTCCATGACAGGGAGTACGACTGTTCTTGTGGATTATTCCATGTAGTTTGCTATTCTCTATTCATGTTAGTGATAGTAGCGAGGGATAAAAATTTGTTGCTGTTTTGTTCCTGCTTTGTTGTTGTCGCGTGTTTTCTGAGCTCTCATTTTTCGTTTTTTATACCGAGACGTTAAATTAGTTCCACTAGTTCATTTAAAATTCTACGCACTTATCTCAGCAATCGTTCAATGTATCAAAAAATTCGAATTACAGCGTCTTCTCGTTTACATAATTTCAATTAGCATATCCATTCTAGGTTCTGTATATGTACTGTTCCAATTCGCTTACGATTAACTGTACACATGTGTTGACGGGGGGCGGCGCCTATAGTCATTGAGCTATCTTCCTTTCCGAGACAAAAGGTCTATGTGATTAAACCAGCACGATTTCCATTGAATGTGTGTTTGTGTTAGTATGTGAGTATTTGATTTCATTTTTATCCTTTATCATGCTCTTTTTAATGAGGCTGGTTCCTATCAATGCGCTATTATAGATACATTTATGATGATGACCGTTCGTCTTGCGTGGTCGCTTTCTACACCGAGACAACGTTCATATATGGTTAAATGTGATGGGCATGGGGCAAAGGATTCGGATGTTGGTGCGAAGGAGATGTGTGCTGGAGTGAGGTTAATGATTAACGATGAATATTCGTCTTCTCTTGTGTAATGGGTTAATAGTTAACAACGATAACCGAGAAACAACATGCAACTTTCGATTGGTGAATTTTACAGGAATTGACGTGCCAGGAATTCGATTCAATAGAGATGCTGTAAATTTATAACAGAGGACAAAGGTTTTGACGTAGTTGTAATACGTTCGATAAGCTGCACTGGCCCACAAAATTAAATGGAGCTCAAACAAGTTCTAGTGACACAAAGAAAAATGAGATTTGTGCTCCAAAAAATGCTATGTAAATTTCGTTTGCAGCAACGCAATCAATATAATACAACCTGGTGGGAGTTTCCAACAACTCTTGCTTCAAGGAACTTATTACATGACCGGTACAACCAGTTTTTCAAAAACGTATCTCACACGATTACGATCTCGAAACATCCAAACGATCATCATTGCAGCCATTTGCTACAGCAAACGTGTTACCGATAAGGCTTCTTCACCCTAACCGAAGACAACATATCAAGAAGACTGCATTCCATGATTATTCTCAAGCTTTGTACTGCCGGTGGACGCATAATTGACCCATGTCCAATGAACTTTCATATACACATGGGACCATTATGGTTCCACCGGCAGTATTAGACCGACCCATTCTTGCCATTTATAGCTCAAAGGCTAAAGCTTCGAACGAATTTTACAATTTCTCACTTTACATCGGGTAGTTTTACCAACTGGATTCTGGAAGAGTTGTCACCTAACAATCTTCTTGTCTACGCCCTAACTGATTGGCGGATAATATTTAATATACGACTAGTTATAACTTGTGTAGATCTCCACATCCTCAAAAATGTATCATGCGATAAGAAAACTTTCGAGCCAGCAATTCTTTAATCATATTTAATTATGGTCTTTATTCTGTAGCTGAACACTTCAGTATTCATTTTTGAAATATTCGAGAAGTTTGATTCACTACTCCAGTTAATTTTCAGTGAACCTTAAGACCAATCGCCTGGAGAATATAATGTGATAATCCACAAGTAAATTCAGGATAAGTCTAGACAATTTGCAAGACCAGGCAGACTAAAATTCGAGGACAAATTCAAACGAGTTAATACCTTGAAGTAATGCAGTAAAAGCACCTCTACAGCAAGTTCAACGTACTTTGGATACAAGAACATAAGAAACAATTGAGTATCTTGTAGGACCCAGATCCAGAGAACTATAAAAGAAGCTAATTTGAAAGCTTAAGTGAAAGATAGGTCTACACTCTACACAGTTAAAAAAGCAAGCTCGAAATATCTTTGATGACGTTATTTCGATCAATTCTATACCGAAACACACAAGCCTAGAAGTTATTGGGAGCCTAAAGAACCTAAAACAAGGAGGTGACAATCGGATTTAGCCTAAATTTCAGTAAATCGCTTGGTTCTAAGGCTCAGACCAAGAAAATCTTCTGCCTAAGTTCATCAGCACCATCATCCGAAAGTCCTCTGGAGACGCCCCGCACCGGGGTCATCGGAACTTTTAATCGAAGTGCACCAGACTCCCTCTAGACGTAATCTGACTGAAACTCCGTACCTGACTTGACTTGACTTTCCTGATGCAACGTCGTGGGAGACTTCACCTGGGCTGGTACGACTGGGCAATGCGTACCATTACTACGAGTAACTGTGCTGGTATAAATAGATTATAGTAGTGGTACTTAGCCTCTTATCCAGTACCGTCCAGTAACCAACCTCGGTGGGACCTAAGTCTACGTGCTGAGGAAAAGGGTAGGGGCACCCCTCTTCAGAGGGCGCGGCTCATACAAACCGAACATCTGTTCTTCATATTAGGAGCGGCTCAAAACAGCGTCTGTTCTCCATGGTATGGGCTGAACATCGTCTTTGTGCCAGTGTGGGACTCATAACAGTGCTGTGCACGATAATCTTCGAGACAGGGTGTTGGTGTAGGCCCGTAAAAGATAATAGCTCAGAAAGCAAACAATGGCAATACGGAAACTGTGTTTCGAATAATCAAATAAAAATGTAGGGCACTCAAACGGCAACATGTAGAAGGGAACCATTCTTGACGTTCAACGGAACTACGATATCCTGAAGTCTTTTTCCATGTCATAAACATGTTCTCCAAATTCTTCAAATAAAAGCCTTGGCAATATGAAACGAGCTGTTTGAATGACATTCTTGACTTCTTCTGACCAGTACAGCAAATATATCCAAACGTGTTTCAACCATAATGTCTATAGCGAATTGAAACCTATTAGTTCACCCTCGTAAAATTTGTTATGGAATTAATCGTACAAGTTACGAACAGATACGTTCTAAATTAGTAGAAATGTAAACTGGTGCGCGTTGAATGGAAAACAATGAAACAGAATAGCTCAACAGTGTGTGCAGTAAGCGCCAAATATGGGAGAGGACCGTAAGTGTCCATGATAGGTGTTGCTATGAATGTTAACAGTCATATTCTAAATTTCAAAATTCATTTCTGAAGGGTAATTTCCTGTAATTCGCATATGTGTGTGTTTGTATGGGTGTCTATGATAAACGATGAATTTGGTAGGTATTGCGCGATGTCGAGGGAACTATTTGAGAGAGTTTCGATTTTACCACTTTTTGTTAGAGCTCTGTCGAATAAGATTGTTGCGTGATGGTGGAAATAAGATATCCAATATATTACTTTGTGTGTAAACTACTCTAAGACTGCCGTGTCATCTCTTACTGGCTGAAGCTGCTGTTTCGCCATTTCGCATCATTAGCTTGGAATATTTTGTGTTTAAATTGTTCTCGTAATATACTCCTTGAGTCAGTTTGATTCCCCTTTCCTTTTGTTTGTTTGGAAAGACTATTCTTTCCAATAATGTGTATAGGTTTAACGGGGGTCTGCATTGTCGCCTAGACTAAACGAACTCCACCAGGTGGCATCTGGGTGTACCTGTTTTAGTGTTGCAATTGAGTGGTTGTTCCTAAATAGATTCGCTACATAGCTGCTGTCCTACTAGACTCTCTCTCTCTCTCACTCTCTTTCTCATTCTGTGTGTCTGTAGAGTGTTGGTTAGCTACCTTTTCTGACTACCCTGATAGATCGGATTGTGCTTCTTGGTAGATTCATCTGCCTACAAGTTCGGGAAAATCGACACATTAGAACGACTCACGGTGACTAGATTCTACCCTAGCTGCGGCGGACTTACCCATCTTGACAGCTCCGTCGCTCGGTGGCAGGGACATTGCTTGGCCACCGTTGTTCGACGCTTGCTGCCGCTTCATGGTTCGATCTTCGTATCTGGTACCACTCTGGGATGCCATCGGACGGTTCAGTGTGTTGTTGGGTGAATTTGGTGAGTTGTCACTATAGCTGCCACCGTTGCTACTGTTTACGTTCCGCGAGGCGATCGTTTTCGTCACAAAGTCCTGCTCCTTCCAGCCGTGCTTCTTGTACATGTCTCTCAGTTCCTGATGTTGCCACATTGTAAACAGCAGCTGACCGGCGAATTTCAGTACCCGCGGGGTGTACTTTAGTCGTTGTCGTGTCATGTTCATTAATCGCTCTACGCCACCGGCTTCCAGCAGGGATCGAGCGAATTCCGCATTCTTCTTAATGACTTCGTTTAACGTGGCCAGTACGGCTGCGATCGTGTCGTCCGAGGTACCCTGATCGCACTGTGGATTCCCAGAGGGTAACTTCTGGACCAAATCTCGCATCGCGTACTTGCCGATCAATTCTTTATTTCTTTGGTCAATAGCTAGATTGCGTAGAGCAGTGGCAACGGCACACACCACCCGGTCCACCTCCATTCGGAGCAGTTCCACCAGAATCGGGAGACCTTTCTCCTTTCGCACGGTGGCACGGATCTCTATGCTCGGTTGCCAGTAGCAAGCCGCCAGGTTCTGCAATGCACCAGCCGCCGCTTCCAGCGTTTCCGGATTTGAGCAACTCTGCAGTAAGGCAAGATAGGAATGTACAACGTCGGGCTGCCACAGCTGCTCCGCACCTGTAATACGAGGAAAAATAGAATTCATATTAGTTTAAACAAACGAAGCACAACGGCATCAATGGCAACTCACCCTTATAATGCGCCGTATTTTTGTAGGCCATCCTGGCCGGATCTCCATTCGCACTGGAATGATCCTTCGCGTCGGCAGCCTGCGCGGCCGCCGCTGCCGCTGCCTGCTGTTCCTTCTTCTTCTTACTGGCCCCGAAGCAACCCAGATTTTCGCCCTTAGACGACGCCGCACTCACAATAGCATTGCCATGTGAACCATCGGCACTACTGTAGTGGGGGATGGGATTTTTATCGTAGTTCGGGTCTTCCACCTCCTGACAACGGTAGGACAAATTTCGCAGTATACAGACACAGTTTTCCACAATTTTGTTACCTATGTTCGACTTTTCGATCGCTATCCGAACGACGTACAGTAACGAATCCACTAGACCTTCGCATTCGCGAAGCTTTTTCCTAGCATATTCTCCGGCTGAGCTAACATTCCGCAAAATGCCGGACGCATTCCGGAACACGGTGCTCCAACAGGTCTCACCCGGATTCGTTGGATCCCAACCCGAATGGGGAATGATGATGTAGGACACGATCACTATGATCGCATCGTCGATGATGAACCTTTTCAGATCTTCACACGAGGACATGTTCCAGATGATTCCGGTGACCAGTTCTTTGATGTCGGACTCCGATGTCCGTCGGAGCAGGTGGATCAGTGCCTGGATGCCTCCGGCACTGTTGATTGCACGTTTATTTTCGTCGTTTTGGCGACCGTAGGATAGATTCCGCAGGGCACCACAGGCATTTCGGTACACGTCGGTGTTTTCGTGGCCTAAGAGTTTGACCAGCGGAGGAATACCGCCGAGGGTTCGCGTTCGCTGTTTGTTTGGATCATCCATGTAGCACAGATGCTGTAGGTAAGCGGCGGCATTGGCCTTGATGGCGTTGTTGGGATGACTGAGGAAACCGATCACTTCGGTTAGATTAGGATCTCGCCATTTCATTTGGCGCTGCTCTTCGAGATCAGGACCTTCAGGCCCGCTTCCACCGGGTCGGTTGTTCCCACCCGGGGAGGTTATGATGTGATGCTGCAGAAAGACGTGGTTATGAATTTGTAGGTTCTGCATATGCTGCTGGAGATCATCCTCGCCGTCGTAGTAGCAGGCACCTTCCGGAGGAACTCCTCGTTGACTGGCACTGGCTGCTGCTTCATAGGCAAGTTGTTTCGTGGCGTATGTAGGTTCGCTGGCACCGGATGGATCAATGTGACCGTGAGAACTAATCGTTCCGTAGGGAGGAGTTGATACATAGCCGTACACCATTGCGGAGGGGTTGTCCGGATAGAGCCGATCAACTGGACCTCCAGGCGACGGTGCTATGACGTATTCACCCATTTCGTCGTACTGTCCCTGCATATAGCCCGGCGGTAGCAGATTGGCCGATGGATTGCCCATCTGAGGTACGTTCATTGGCAGCGGTATCGAAGATTCGCTGTTCTCGCTTGAATTATGAGGTGTTGAGCGGTCATTAATCTGATACTCTCCGAGGTAGGACTGCGGATGAGGTGGATGATGAACGCCGGCAGGGTCATAGCCAGAATCCGTATACTGTGAGTAGTGTTCGTAGTCCTGGTAGTGTGTCTGGTACTGCCCTTTGTCGCCGGGCCCGGCCATATTTTTCGCACCGGGTGCCATATGCGATTGCGATGCGGCTGCCGCAGCGGCCATCTGCTCCTGCTGGTCCAAATGGTTGTAGTTCATGTATTGCGACCGGGTCGTGTAGATTCCCATCGGCATCGACACGTAGTCGATCGGCTGTCCATCGGGTCCCATTTCGAGAGGCATTGCTACATAATCAAACGGCTGCCCATCCGGTCCCAACTGTTTCACCTCGCGCACGACCTTCGTTACAGTCGTGATTTGCTGGGTCGTTTGCTGTTTGTGAGTACGAGCGATTAGTTCATCCTCACTATGCATTGATGATGGTTATTTTTCGGGGGTAGATTCGGTAATCGCGCTCACCGCACGTAATTCGATTCAACACGCTAATTCTAATGGCTAAACTGTATATTGCACACGATGTGATAAAGTAGTATAACATAGAATAGAGTCTTGCTTGTTGCACACTTGTCAGATCATTCTCTTCCCATGATAATCATCGCACAATCACTAAACTTTGCGTATGCTTTTGTTTTGTTTTACACGCTCGTAAAAAAAAACCGGAAAACCAAAAAAACACAAAACACCTACCGAATATGTTATGTTCCACTTTATTTTAATACTGATCCTATTTACGAAGTAGCTTCTCTTCCAATGACATCCTTCCACCCACCTATACCCGTTATCTTCCCAGAAGCACTTTGTCTCAATTGACAATTTCGTTACTTGATAAGAGTCGCTTCCGGATAAATAAATGCCACTATAATTAACCTATCACTTGGTTCCATTCGCTTTTCTTCTTCTCTCGGTGATGACGGTTCTATTCTCTTCGCCTTCGCCCATCAGCACCCTTCGGGGGGTGGTGCACCCGTTCTGACGCGACCCCAATATAGGGAAATCTTCTTCCTTGCTGTTGTTCAGCCGGAACGTGCCTTCGGGAAAACCACTACCTTTTTTCAAACAGCACTTCTTCGGTCAAATATACGTTCGCAGGCAGCACAAGACGGGAAAACCGCATAGATTAGACTACGAGTGGTCGGTAGTTCTTTTTGGCACACTCAAAAAAAAAAAACGAAAAAGAAAGGCGACGTGCTTCAATGTGGGGTTGGCTCACGTTCTTGCTATTCAGCACAGGGTTCCTATATTCGGGACGCCTGATGCCTCGTTCTCTCTGCGTGTGGGTGGTAGGTGGTAGGTTGCTGTCGTCGAGCAAGGCTGGTGACTGCGCTGCAGTTCTTTTTCACGTTCTTCTTTTAGCCTCGACACGACGGCCACCGCGTCTTCTCCGCTTGCTTGTTATCAATTCAAAGACACTTCAGCTTGGGCGCGCAAAGCTCATAGCACGGTTCCCATCTGAAAGGTAGAAAAGACGAAAGCTTCTGTTAGTGGTTGAATGGTTCCATGGATGTGTAAGTAGCAAAGAGGACAGTTGGTAGGCGATGTATTTAGGTTTCACGATTATGCAGTCTCTCGTAAATCGGTATTATTATACAGCTTTGATTGATTGCAAAACCAATTTAAATTCAGAGAACTTGTGCTTACACCTAGACTCAATAACCAACCCTATCAAGCCAGTAATGTAAAGTAGCCCGGTATAAAACCCACGATCTTCTGCTCAGTAAGCAAAAACAGTAGACACTGGGCCATTGAACCCCCCTTATAGCACAACAAGCCATGGCGATCAATTTTGTATTTGAATCTAGGTTGATTCTAGGATTGTTGCTTGAATGCATTTACTTGCACCAATTCGAACGAGTTATATCAGTGTTTATTTTCTAAAAATTATTCTACAAAAAAACAATAACGAGAAAAACAATTGATGATGCTGAGACCTCTATATTATCAGAAATCTTCAAAATTTAAAGAAAATTTCTAAGATTCTGGACAATTGTTTAGAAGTTAAGACTACAGTTTTTCGAGATTTGAGACTTAAAAATCATCGAAATCCTTGATTGCGAAATAACAGAAGGGAGATAAACAAGCCTGCGTCTAAAAATCTAGATAACTAAACAAAAAAACAGAATGGGATTTATTTATCAAGAATCTAGGGCTGATAAAAATACGCTAGAAATATATGGTATATTTCTGAGATTCAAGATTGGAAAAAAAATTATGGGTATTGGAAAATTTTCGGGGTTCTAACAATTTAATTTATTTTACATAGAATTCTGATGAATACCAATGGAATTTAGAGAAGGATTCAAAAAGAATTAAAGTGTTAAGCAGGGGGAACGACACTTCAAGATTATCCCATTTTACCCATACAATTTTCAACGTGCACAAAATTTCAATCCATCACATCTATTCTTTCTATTCCCAACTTATCCCTTCTGCATGTACACAAATTATCAATTGGTGTTAAGAGGGATTCAAAATTTTATGGAGTTCTGACCAGAATTCCAAGATTATTATGAGATGAAGTTCTAAGGAATTCTGACTTAAATTCGAATGGATTTCTTGGGGGAATTTTAATTTTAGAAGAATTCCAAATGAATTGTGCGGAGATCTTTAAGCAGAATTGATAACTATATCTGAGAAGAATTGTACGGTGATTGTGAGGAGAATACAAGGGGTAAATCAACTCTGCACACCTCAATCTGTGCCGAATGTTTTAGCGGTGCTGAAAGCTGTGTCAAACGCTGTACCTAACCGTGTAAATCAGGTATCCCATGAGTTTGGCAACCCTGAAAATTTAATGACTTTTTTGATTGTTTGTTTGTGATTGTGCAAGAAAAATTAACGTGATGAAATGATGTATCCAGCCTAAAATCACTGCTGCAGTACTGACATTCCACCCGGCTAACTGGAGAAACTGAAACCAAATCTGGTCCAAGATTCGAGTCGTTTAACACCAACAAGACACTGATTGTAGCCGTAGTGAAAGCCGGTTCCGAAGCTCAAGTCCGTCGGATCCTCATAAATCCGGAATCGCGCGTCAACAACGAATACATTCTGGCATAGTTCGAGTTTCTGGTGGATTCCGGCAATCTGGACCTACGTCCGTGGCGTTGATTATGAAACATTACGACAGCGATAGCAAATACGAGGCGGCAGTGGAACTATTCAGTCGGTTGCAAGCGGTGGACGGCTACCTGAAGATTAGTGGCGATTTACTCGGCGCGAACAACTACGAGGTGCTGAATGCGCTTCTGTTGTATGCCAAGGGGAAGGTATGAAGCGGTAAGGATCGGGTTTAGGTCGTTAAAATGTATATTGTTAGGTGAATAAAACAAAACTTATGTTTGTTTTAAAGCAAGCGGGGAGGAAGTTGCCTGATTTGTATGACGCTGTATCTGAAATTGACCCATGTTAACCGTGATTACCGATATTTTCACTACCGGAAACGCCAAGCAAATGTTGGTTGCAAAAGTACATAACCCTGAGGGTGACCTAGTTATTGCTGTTGCTGGTGATGATCTCGGCGCTGGTATTTTTCGCCACACTTTAACAACTCTTGCAGGGAATTTGAATTACTGGCTGCACGAGAGAACCGAGCAAAGTAGATGTTTGGCTTCTAATCCGAAGTCTGATCGTGTAGTCTGATGGATTTGTTAATTTCATCCTGAAGTGAAGATCAACGGCTATCAACAAAGTGCGACTTTAGCAACTATTGGAAACACATCAGCAAAACACAGTGATGCCGTTTTATATTATCATCTGTGTCATACTTGTCAAAGTGTGCCCTAACGTGCCGATCAGCGTACTGCGGCACAGTGTGCAGAGTAGTTTTCCCCTTGGGAGAATAGCAACATGAACATCCTGAGAGTTGTGATGAGAATTCAAAGAGAATTACAAACATAATTTTAGAATGATTCATACGAGAACTTCAATGAAATTTCGAGAAAAATACCAAAAGGATCGTATTCTGAGGTAAATAAAATAATGGAGGAATACTTAAAAGCAATGCTAAGGATCTATGAAGAAATATCCAAGGGATTTCTGAGGACAATTCCAAACGATTTTTGAAGAGAGATTTGACTAAGAGAGTTCAAAGAAAAAAATCTTAAAGGTTACTAAAAAGGATTCCAAGGAAATTCTTATAAAAGTTTCAAGGAAATTCCACGGTAATTACGAGTAGAGTATTTTGGTAAGTTTAACAAAAATTGCATGATAACTCTGAACATAAATCCAAGGTAATCCTGGGATTAATACTATGGGAATTCTGAAAACAATTTCAAGGCAATTTTGATTTCGAACCTTAATAACCCGGGATAATTTTCAGTTATTTTCAGTTTGCAGATTTTAGTTTCCAACGTCCGGCATCATTAATAATGTTCATGCCAATTACGTCAAAATTGGATTAGATACGAAATCAGTTAGAAATATTGCTGAATAATTAAATCCAAACAAACAAGAAAAGGCTAAAACGAGCAAGTCTTTCTTTTGGTAAAAACTCGCTCTGTTTCACTAGTTGATTCTGAAACTCTCGTGTAAAAAAAATCACAGTGTGTTAGGGTTTATTGGTTTTTCCTGGTTTTCCTATCGAATTCCCGAGTTTTTCCCGGGTTTCCCGGCTACTTTTCAAATTCTTGGTTCGCTGGCAGCCCTGCTTTTGTAAGCAAAACTTGTAATGCCCTTTTCTTGCGAACCGAAGCTCGCCTACCCAAACCGACATCACTTTCGGGAACTCGAAAAGGACAAGTTTTGCTTAAAAAAGCTGATACCAAGGGGTAGGACACTCCGCACACTAATCTTGGGTTATCTTTTTTGTCAGTGTGCCGATTGTGCTGGACATAGAACAAGCTGCGATTGTTTGTAAAATACGCATCCCGGCAACTCGGTATTTCTGACACCTTGAATGTTTTGGTTTGAAATTGCAAGGATAAATCGGATTGAGGATGACGCAGGAAGTGGCGGGTGTGCGAAATGTTGGTGTTTTGTGTTCATAGGATAGTAAAAGTCCTGTGTTTTAGGGTATTATACTCAAACGTAGACCAAACACCTAGCCTTTTGTGATGTGAAAAGCAACGGTCTATCAGCGACCGGAACCGGTGGGGAACATTGTTGGACACCGACTATAGAGGATGATAAGGTTTTCTTGAGTCCACTCTAGAACCTACATTTCGTATTTAGGTCTATAAAAGAACCGCGAAGTTAACTGCTGGTCTGAGTTTCTCTGGTATATTCAATTAGAGGATGTTCTTGAATATACAGTCAAACAGCACTTAATGTTGTGAACAACTTCAATGACAGTTGTCCTGCAGTGCTCTCATTTTATTTACAACAATCCAATGCCTACGAGATTGTGCCGTTAGGTGAAAGGTGTGCCGATGGATGTGCCCAAGCTGTGCTGAATATAATTTCGGCACAATGTGCTGAGTGACTTACCCCTTGGTTGATACGCACTTTACAATTGTTGGTCGAGTAATCATGTGGTTGTGCAACCCTTAGTGTGACGAAGTTTGGGAATGAACCCACGTCTTCTTTCCTTTATTTAACGTCGGTCTCTGTTCCGCAATCTAGTGCCAATCACCGACGGACATCGATTGCCATCCATTGACGGCAATCGAATGTGCAGGAAGGCAGCTTCTACACCTGCGTAGGATATCGCACCCATTCAACACACATGGGCCGGGACCAACGGCTTTACTTCCTTTCCGAAGGAAGACGTGACCAGAGATTTTTATGCCTCAGAAAAATCCCACCGACCTCGGCTGGGATTGAACCCAGACCCATCGGGGTGTTAGAAAGCAGTCACGCTTACCACTACACCACCGGCGCCGGCGGGAATGAGCCCACGATATTTTGCTCAGTAAGCAAAAACGGTTGCTATTAGGCCACCGAGCACCTCACATTTCTTTATTTATGTGTCAACATCAACAGATTCAATGTAGCCCGAATGATCATATCGCTACAAACCACTATGACCACCGTTCAAATTCGGTGACGACGACGACGACGACTGTCACAATGCACCATAAATACCGCTCATCTAATAAGTCCCGACCGAATTCTATTACAATTTAAAGTGGGTTAATAAAGATAAAGAAACATGTAAGCACAACATGGCCCTGTCCCTCAACTGTACTGAAGAAATTTAAACTACTGTGTGGTTATTTTGACCTTCTCTAAATGTATCCATAGCTTCTCTTAAACATCTCCAAAGAGTCTTCCTGAAGTTCCTAACTATTCTTAAAGTGCTTCCAAACATCTCTGAGGTGATCACTGAGTGCTTTTGATTTTCCCTAAGCTATAATAATGTCAGGGTGCCAGTGAATTTTAATTTTAAAATTCCCGGGTCTTTTGGGTTTTCCCGGTTCAAATCTCAAAATATTCCCGGTTTTTTCTATATTTAGTAAAATTAATGATTGTAATATCACGTTATTTTCGAGGCACTTAAAATCAATTTGAAT